ACTGTGCCCCAGACCAACAGAAGATACATCACGTGCCACACCACTGACTGCTATTACTTCATAATAGGGCATAACATTTTCTTCCTGTTGTGATTTTTAACGACCACATTTTACCTATTTTATATTATTTTGGGCATGGAGCAGCCACTCCAAAGGACGAAAACCTCCTCCCTTAAAATACAAGAAAGAGATGGGGTGGGGGAGTGATGGGATTTGTTTGCTTTCAGGTCAACTTATTTTTTCCACTTAAGTTGTGTCAACGGCAGATCTATCTTCCTCGCCAAACAGACCTCATTATTTTAAAGAAGCAAAGATACATTCAGACAGTGTTATGTTTTACTCTAGAAATTGGACAGGGTGCATCAAGAAACCCAAATGGACTGTGATGCTTACACACTTGTGTAACACCTTCCAGGTGCTATCAGCTGAACATGTAATATTCAAGCTGTCTGTTGTAGACTGATACCAATGGTCTGAAAATTGGTACCCAGGAGAGCATTTGAAAGTAATGTTTTCATTCACGTTGTAACTCTCTTTTTCATCTAACACATTGACCATTCTTCCATTTTGCACATCAGGCTTTGGACACCAAACTGAAAGGAAAAGGCAGAAGAGAAGACAGTTCAATGCGAAAGGGAGATGCACGGTGTATAGGGCTTATTGCCAGTAAATCATGCCCTTAGTTCACTTCATTGCAGCTGTTTTGGTTTTTCAGAGAAATAAACTGCTTGTAACACCAAACCCACAGTGCATCTCTCTCTCCGGAGAAACAAACATCATGAGTTCAACAAGAAAAGGCTGCGAGTGAAATCCCATCCAGTACTGTGTATCATGGGCATTTCCTGGAGAATTGGCAGCTGAAAGTCCACACATGGAGCAGCAGAGCACAGGTGCTTTGTTGGTTCATTTAAGGAGGTCTTATTGGCAGACTTGGGACAACTGTGAATGTGCAGTTCACTCCCAGGCACACTTGTGGCCTTTTTTAAAATAGCCTCTTTGGTCTATTACAGAATTAGCCTCCTCTGCAGTGAGGGAGAAGTACATGGAAGTCAATGGAGTTACCTTGGATTTATACTGGTGGAACCAAGAGCAGAACTTGGTCCTTAACAGCGTCTTACGCTTCTATAGTGAATTTCATCCTGCAGGATGCCAAAGATACCACAGTGACTGGCACAGTACGAACACCTTAGATAGACAAATGTAAGGCCTGATTGCCCTGGTTCTCAGTGGAGTAAGTGAGAGGAGTAGCTTCAGGGAAGCCAGAGAAGTTACAGAAGAATCCGGCACTTGCTGTTTAAAGTGTAGGTAAATTCTCTTTAAGGGGAGCTGCTGATGGATCAAGCCCCATGTCAGTAAATTAACCAAACCACCCTCCTACGGTGCTTAGTCCTTCCAGAATCATCGAGGCAAACAGCCCAACCTTCCTGCCACCTACCAACCCTCCCTGAGTCCCCCAACAAGTGCCTCAGTCCCACTGCTGAACCATCCCACAATGTCTCCCTCGCAGTGGAATCACTGTCCCACCGCCGCTGCCCATCTGTACCTGTGAAGAAGGGGGAGAATTGTTGAGGATGTTACAAGGGGGCTGAGCTGGGACTAATAGGAGGAAATTAAGGAAAGGAAATTTTAGGCTGAAAGCTAGGAAGGAGCCTCTTGAGAGTGAGATCTAAGAGACTCTTCAATAGTCTCCCAAGAAAAGGGATGTGAAGCTCTATTGATTGGCATATTTAAGCCTTGATTAGAAAAAGGCCTGGAGATTAGTCTATAGGGAACAGATCCATCTCCCCCGAGATGGGCGAGGTCATTTGATAGAAGACAGGGAGGGAAAAGGCCTTTGTAAATCAATGCCCCAGGGGGATCCTTCTAATAGACCCCCACCTAGAAACAGATCTGCTGGCTTTGCATCTTCTCTGATGCGGTTTCTAGGTTTTATAGGAGTCTATTTTTTCCTCAGCAGGATGATTTAGTTGTGTTTATATTTACCCTTAATACAAGATGGCACTGGAGGATCCCACGTCCTATTGGCCTGGCATTTGATCGACTTGCTGCCTTTAAGGATGTAGCCAGATTCACATTGAAACTGAACACTGTTTCCAACTGTATATTCAGTTTTACTTATAGGGATCGGTTTTCCATGTTCAATCACTGGATTTGGACAACGAAGAATCTCTGAGAAACACCAATAAACAAAGGGTTTAAAATGTTTTTGTTCAGACAAAGGGTTTGTCTGCAGGGGAAATTCATGGGGAAATTACGGTGAAATAGCAAGGCTGTGAATTAAAAGGGCAATAGCTGACTCCACACTAACTCATCCCAGGGACACTCTTATTGCACGCTAGGAGGGCTTCTTTGTGGGTTAGGTAAATTTTCTTCCAAAGTCACAGTAGAGACACTTTTTGTGGGGGAGACTTGTTCATTGGGAGGGTCATTATTCCATTTCAAACCATAGGCCCGTGGACAGCAAACTCATAAGGAGAAATGACAAATAACTATAATTTTAGTGTTAAGTCTAAAACGTTCAAAGCCCCAACATTTATATGGCTGTTGATCCATTATCTATGCAATCCCAACACTTGGGGAACACATGGCCAGCTGCAGATTTTCTCAATCACGCATTCCAAGAAAGTTCGATTTCCAGGGGCAGATGTGGCAAATAATTTCTCCCTGCACTCAAGTCACGGTGACGTTGGCACTGCTGGCAGATCTCCCCGGGGATTATGGGAATACTGCAGATGGGGTAATGGAGCGGCCCGTGCATTAACATGCGGCTAGCTGCTTCCACCCCAGCTTCCTGCTGCTAAATCAAACCACTGGGGTCTTTCCAACTTGGACTCAGATTGTCCCCACAAACATACTGACACCACACACAGGGAGGAGATTCTACATTAAAAGTGCCACCATCAGGACAGCTGGATCGGGAACCACAAACCAAGATACGGGTCAGGTGAGGGGTGTGTCTGAGGGAGGAATTCAGGAAGCTTGGAATGGGAAGATCAAGCATAAGTTAGGGCATAGGTCAGGGCAGATCATGTGTACAAGTGCCAGGGCAGAGAAGACACTGGCAGTGGGCATCCCAGCTGGGAGTGTTTGGACTGCTGCAAAGGAGGAATCTGCAGTGAGTTGACCCTCGACTCTACATATTTTCAATATTTAAGAGCTAAGATGTTAAATAGCCCCCAGGTCATTGCAATGGGCCCTCTACCCTTTCGTAATCTCAGTCACTCTAGTGTGATGAAGAAATGAATCACCTTTGCACTCAGGGGCAGGTGCATCCCAGCGCGGAGCTCCCCCATCACCAGCTATACATTGAATGGAGGATTCTCCAACAAGTGACCAGCCACGTTTACATACGTAGGTCACACTTGAGTCAACAAGGAAAACATTTTTCTGGCCACGGTCGTCCCGTCCATTAGAGATGCGTGCAGGTGGCTCACAAGCTGTAATAAAAGGGGAAAATACAGCATTTATACAGAACGGGAAATCTCCTAAAAGAAGGGAGGCAGCATAAATACTGTGGGGTTTCCTGACACTACATTTCCAAAAAAAGGTGCTTGGAGAGGTTCCACTGTCTAATACCTCTGACAATCTGACAGTACTTTCTGTTAGTTTCTGGCTGTGAGTTAGCATGATACCTCTACGGCACTGGGAGAGCAAAGATAAAAACAGCAACATGCAGAACACCCTTAAAATGGTGTTTTGACCTGTAGGGGCCCCATGGATTGTTGTTCACATGCTGACGACACTGAATAACTGCACTGAATTACTGAGAATTACAGCCAGACCCTGAGATATACTGAAGGCCTGCAGCTCCCATTAACTTCAACAGTAGAGTCCTCCTGCATGGCTCCCTGAGTCATTAAACTGGCCCTGCTACATCTGCATCACCAAATTCCAGATCTGAACCCCTTCTGTAGACACTGAGTTCTGCCAGAACCCCCTGAACGAGCATGCCAAGCCTCTGCCGAGTTAGGAAACGCTTCTAGAGTCCCCAGAGTTCCTCACCCATCCCCACTCGCTATTGAGCTTTTCCACCACATCACCCTCCCAGTACAATGAGCCATCCTTTCCCCATATGTCCATCCCTCTCGAACTGGTGAGGAGGAGGACTGTTTAGGGTGAAAGAAGGGGATAGAGCTGGTTCTAGCAGACTATGTAATCTTTCATAGTGGTTAGTTTTAATCTTCTGACACTGTTCCGGGATTGTCACACATTTCCGACGGTAGCCAGAGTGACATGTAAAGCAGTCCCAGTGTTACCCATTGAAATAGGCCTATAGTTCTGAAAATGCTCGAGTAACTAATAACTCCTATAACAGATATCACCTCACCCTCCGGTCTCTCTAATCCCTCCTCTGGCTTTTTGAAAATTCATGGATGCTTAAAATTCTCTTTTCATGTGCTCAGCGTTTTGAGAACTGACCCAACACTGAAGCGGGTGCCAGAAGCACTTGTACCACTGCTCCCATTCAATGGTTGCATTGTGGGATGGCAACATTAATCTGTGACAGGATCTTTATAATGGTCACAGTGAAGCTGGCTGCTAAGGGAGGCACAGAATCATTGTATCCTCTGGGCATCCACACACACTGAGTGGATTCTACATTAAAAGTGCCACCATCAGGACAGCTGGATTGGGAACCACCAACCAGGAGATGGGTCAGGTGAGGGGTCGGTCTGAGGGAGGAATTCAGGAAGCTTTGAATCGGAGGATCAGGCAAAAGTTAGGGCATAGGTCAGGGCAGATCATGCATACAAGTGCTAGGGCAGAGAGGACACTGGCAGTGGGCATCCCAGCTGGGAGTGTTTGGTCTGCTGCAAAGGAGGAATCTGCAGTGAGTTGGCCCTTGACTCTACATATTGTCAATACTTAAGGGCTAAGATGTTAAACAGCCCCAAGGTCATTGCAATGTGCCTTCCACTCTTTTCTAATCTCAGTCATTCTAGTGTGATAAAGAAATAAATCACCTTTGCAGTCAGGGGCAGGTGCATCCCAGCGTGGAGTTCCCCCATCATCAGCTGTACATCGAATGGAGGATACGCCAACAAGTGACCAGCCATGGTTACATTCGTAGGTCACACTTGAGCCAAGAAGGAAAACATTTTTCCGGCCACGGTCGTCCCCTCCATTAGAGATGCGTGCAGGTGTCTCACAAGCTATAATAAAAGGGGAAAATACAGCATTTATACAGAACGGGAAATCTCCTAAAAGAAGGGAGGCAGCATAAATACTGTGGGGTTTCCTGACACTACATTTCCAAAAAAAAGGTGCTTGGAGAGGCACCAGTGTCTAATACCTCTGACAATCTGACAGCACTTTCTGTTTTTGGCTGTGAGTTAGCATCATACCCATGGCATTGGGAGAGCAAAACAGCAATATGCAAAACACTCTTAAAATGGCTCTGTGACCTGTAGAGGCCCCAGGGATCGTTGTTCACATGCTCACAACACTGAATAATTGCACTGAGTCAACACCAAACCCACAGTGCATCTCTCTCTCTCTCTGGAGAAACAAACATCATGAGTGCAACATGAAAAGCGTGTGAGTGAAATCCCATCCAGTACTGTGTATCATGGGCATTTCATAGAGGCAGCGACAGCTGAAAGTCCAGATGTGGAGGAGCAGAGCACAGGCGCTTTGTTGGTTCATTTAAGGAAGTCTTATTGGCAGTCCTGAGAGAACTGTGAACGTGCAGTTCACTCCCAGGCACATTTGTGGCCTTTTTTAAATAGCCTCTTTGGTTTATTACAGAATTAGCCTCCTCTGCAGTGAAGGAGAAGTACATGGCAGTCAGTGGAGTTACCTCGGATTTATACTAGTGGAACCAAGAGGAGAACTTGGTCCTTAACAGCGTCTTACGCTTTTACAGTGAATTTCATCCTGCAGGATGCCAAAGATACCACAGTGACTGGCACAGTACGAACACCTGAGATAGACAAATGTAAGGCCTGATTGCCCTGGCTCTCAGTGGAGTAAGTGAGAGGAGTGGCTTCACGGAAGCCAGAGAAGTTACAAAAGAATCCAGCACTTGCTGTTTAAAGTGTAGGTAAATTCTCTTTAAGGGGAGCTGCTGAAGGATCAAGCCCCACGTCAGTAAATTAGCCACACAACCCTCCTACAGTGCTTAGTCCTTCCAGAATCAGTGAGGCAAACATCCCAGCCTTCCTGCCACCTACCAACCCTCCCTGAGTCCCCCAACAAGTGCCTCAGTCCCACTGCTGAACCATCCCACAACGTCTCCCTCACAGTGTAATTGCTCTCCCACCGCCGCTGCCCATCCGTACCTATGAAGAAGGAGAAGAATTGTTGAGGATGTTACAAAGGGGCCAAGCTGGGAATCATTGAATCCTCTGGGCATCCACATCTACTGAGTGGATTCTACATTAAAAGTAACAGAGGGTCCTGTGGCACCTTTGAGACTAACAGAAGTATTGGGAGCATAAGCTTTCATGGGTAAGACCCTCACTTCTTCAGACGCAAGATGACTTTTTACAGATTCAGACTAACATGGCTACCCCTCTGATATTTGATACATTAAAAGTGCCACCATCAGGACAGCTGGATTGGGAGCCACAAACCAAGAGATGGGTCAGGTGAGGGGTGGGTCTGAGGGAGGAATTCAGGAAGCTTTGAATCGGAGGATCAGGCAAAAGTTAGGGCATAGGTCAAGGCAGATCATGCGTACAAGTGCCAGGACAGAGAGGACACTGGCAGTGGGCATCCCAGCTGAGAGTGTTTGGTCTGCTGCAAAGGAGGAATCTGCAGTGAGGAAATAAATCACCTTTGCAGTCAGGGGCAGGTGCATCCCAGCGCGGAGCTCCCTCATCACCAGCTATACATTGAATGAAGGATACTCCAACAAGTGACCAGCCACGGTTACATACGTAGGTCACACTTGAGCCAAGAAGGAAAACATTTTTCTGGCCACGGTCGTCCCGTCCATTAGAAATGCGTGCAGGTGTCTCACAAGCTGTAATAAAAGGGGAAAATACAGCATTTATACAGAACGGGAAATCTCCTAAAAGAAGGGAGGCAGCATAAATACTGTGGGGTTTCCTGACACTACATTTCCAAAAAAAGATGCTTGGAGAGGTACCACTGTCTAATACCTCTGACAATCTGACAGCACTTTCTGTTAGTTTCTGGCTGTGAGTTAGCATGATACCTCTACGGCACTGGGAGAGCAAAGATAAAAACAGCAACATGCAGAACACC